CCTTGGTACAATTATATGGGAATTCTAAAGAATGACAAGTATTCACACCCTGGCTCATTCAATTGTCAACAGGGATCAATGAAGCATTAACATAGTGTTGCAATTTACATTCTGTAATAGCATGGAAGAATTAGCCCCATAAAATAGAAAGAATGACAAAATATTCTCTTGCCCTAACCCTTTTGCACAGTACTGTACATTAATAACTTTGTTGTTATAAAATGATGTAGAAATTGTATGAAAATGTATGAAAATGTTACACAGTAGTTATCTAATTAACTTCATAAATTCAAGAAATGTTTAAACTTTTGTTTTATAGTATCTTTAGGCAATTGACATGAATATTATTTATTTTCTGTCTCTATTTCTTTTCCTTTGTAGTAGTGCTTACCCATAAACTATCTAGGAAGAAAAAATTGTTGTGTCTTCTAAACTTCTAAAAATGGTATAACTTTAACCACAACATTCTTGTGTGAAACCACTTGTATATTACCTTGAAGGTCTTGACAAGTGGGTAATGCTATGCTTCAAAATGACATAAATATCTTGCTAATACATGTGCCTAAAGGGTTTTACAGTGTTGTTTGGTAAGTCATTATTGAGCTTGTGGAAGTTATTTTTATTTGGTTACATAATTGTTTCAGGGGGTAAAAAAAAAAGAAAACGGTATGAAACAAAACTAGCAGAATGAATGTATACAATGGAATTTTTTAATCAATATTAAAAAACTTTGATTTTAAACATTTCTCTAATATTTGTTTGCAGTTGTTTTTCATTGTGTATTTCAGTAATTATATGTAAATTTCCATAAATCATATTGTGTAATTAGAATAAAAACAGACAGAAAATTTGTAGATTTATTGAAAAAACTAAACATTTTATGGATACATTTACAATGTTTAAGCTAATAACATTAAAAATAGGAAGTCTAAGAAAATAAAGGAAATATTTTCATTACTTTTTATAAAAGCAGTGTTTTTACAATAAGCTTTCATAAAGTTCAGAAACTAAAAGTTGATAAAAATACTAAGCCAAATTTTTTTATTAGCACAGATATCTTATAGTATTTGGGAATTTTGTACTAAGTTTCATGCAATTTGATTCAGAATTTTTATTTTCCAAATACCAGGTGCATCATTTTGATAGTTAATACAAATACTAAGAAATTCTTCTCAAAAATATGAATCTTTATCAACAAGACAGCAGTTTTTTTAAACAAGCATCCTGTCACATTTGACATAAGCAGTGCTTTTTTCCAGAAGGTGTGATGTACACACCAAATATCATCTTTACAATGCTAAGATATTGTGTTTTAGACCCCTCAGTCAACAAGCATATTGAGAACAACATAACTGAGTGTAGCCAATTTCCCAGTAATAACTTCTTGTGATTAAATTCATCTTCAGAAGAAGTTACCAGGAACTTAATTCGAGAAAACCTGTATAAATACCCTTGTAAGGCACTATGGTGTCATAATCTCCCGAAGAAGACTTGTAGTTGAAACGTTGAGAATGAAAAGATCCTGACATATCATTCATAGTTTCACTGCTACCTTAGTATCCATTTGTCAACATGAATAATACAATACCTTACCTCCACTTACATAATAGCTTTTTCTGATTTGTGCTGCCCTCTATATGTGCAATTTCCACTCACCACTAGCCTTGATGCTCCCACCTATCCTCACGTAATTTCTTGTGGTACAGCTGCACTGTAGCATTCAAATGAGCATACAACAACCTTCCACCAATAGGAGTACAACACACCCTCTTAGTGCAGCCGACTCCCGTGATTTGGCATTCCAGTGTGCAGTTGTGCTCAATTTTGCTGTGTACTTACAATTTTTGTGTACTCTTTTTACTTAATTCTAATGTATTTTGAGAACTCTTAGTTTGTTGTCATTTATTTGCTGCTCACTTAGTATTTGTGGAATATTTTAGTTTTTCATTTCTGCACACTGAATTATCACTTTAATGTTACTATAGTGACTTCTGTTATGGATCTAGGTACTACTGATTCATCACCACTTATTACTTCTGTGGCATTGGGCTCCACACTTTCGATGGAGGAGGTTTTGGTCGTGCTGCATCTTGAGTTGGAAATTAACTTGCGGTTTGCTACACATCCGTAACTTTGGTTTGATCTCTTGTTTCCATGTACATCGAGTCGTAATGGAGAGGATTTGGACAGCCTTTTCCCATCTTCAGCCTTTGCTGCACCATTCTGTGCTACCCCTCTAGATTTCCCTCAACCTTCATCAGCTTTTTTGGGATATGATTCTACACCATCATTGAACTATTTGCCCCCCCCCCCCATGATATTCCAATAATTATGTTTGGGTGCCAGCATTTCTTGGCTCCTATGTTTGTCTGATTCCTTTGCCTTGGCTTATCATAGGTCTGAGTTTCCATTTTTAGATTCTCAGACCTTGGAATCTCTGATTCAAGCATAGGGTTCTGATACTGAGACAACACTAAGGTTTTCCCCGGCTCAGTTTTCCTGTCTTCATCCCACCCTCACTACAAACCTTCATTATCTCATCCATCCACTTCATTTCCAAGGCTATCCACTGTTCCCCTGATGGGTTTTTGGAGGATAAACATACCCTTTTCTTCCTCATGTTGCTGCATTTATCTTCTTCAGCCTTATCTCTTCATACGTGGCTCCTTTGTTGGGACCTCCTTGGCAGGAATGCCCTTTTATCTCATGTGTGACTACCTGCTTCCTATCTACATCATGACTTCCATGTGGTCTCTTTCTTATGACAGTCTATTTTTGAGGATCTTCCTGATACTTTGGAGTCTCGAGTTGAGTGTCTGTGATTATCCCATAGGTTTTGGCACTGTGGGATTGTGGTAAGCCAGTTTTGTTCACCTGTTCACCACATACCCCTGTGTTCTTCAAGTTCTAACAGAAGGACTATTCCTTTTATTTTTTTGCCCCCTTATCTTCATAACCCATTTCCTTCTCTCCTTACTTGGGATCCCATTTCATGCCAGCATCTTTCAAAGGCAATTCACAATCTCTCACACAAGGACTCTTACAAACACACTTCTCTGGGGTTTATATCTTCAGTTTTTTTGTGGTTTTGAAGCAAACCAGGGATTGGTGTCTTGTCATTGATCTCTCCAACCTCAATTGCTTCATTGTCTTCCCATGGTTCACCATGAAGACTTTTCTCATCCTTTGTTGGTCATTCACTTCAGATCTTTGGATGACCAAGATTGCCGTCACAGATACTTATCTTCATATCCCATCTCTCCAGTATCCGGGTGTTACTGTTGATTTGTTCATGGAGGTTGAATGTTTCAGTTCCACACTTTACCTTTTTGTCTGGTATAGGAACCATACATCTTCTGTCGTGTCGGCAGAGCTTTTTTACACCATTTTCATACTTGGG